ATACTTCCTACGGGCACTGCACTATCGGGAGCAATTCGGGGTTCAGTATCTTGCTCAAGGATACTTCCACATGTGACACCTTCCGATTAGGGGACGACCCGCTCTGCCTCTACGCCACAGCCGCCCCACTTTTGAAAAGTGTTCTGAGATAACTTCTGTTATGTCCATTTTACTGCCTATGCTCAAGGAATAAACTGATTATTATTAGTTTTTTTCCATGGTTATCTGCATCACATGACATTAAAAAGATTTCCTGATTTCTGTTTTTTGTATACCTTTACCTGCCTAACTAAAGCACCAGTTTAAATATTGAATATTTATATATTTATATTGGTATTGGTAATCCAGTATTGGTCGGGTTATAACGAGGATATAATCAAAAAATGCTTTCACTTGCAGAATTCCAGTGAGGGGAAATACTTCTGGAACCAGCCTCCCTTTGCAAGTATATTAGGCGAAAGGTCTGTGCAGTCACAACAACATTCCTTTGTGTTTCATCATAAGATTTGTCTTGGCAAGCAATCAAGCCCACAAAAAACTAGTTCTGAAGTCAACAGCCTTGAGAGGTGATAAAGAACATCCTCCACTACATTGAGTGTGGTTTCTAGTAATCTGCACCAGAGAGGAATGCCTTACCTGCAACATGAAATCAAACAGCTCCTGCCCGTAGCCATGTCGCTGCAAGTTCTCTGCTATGAAGAAATCCAAAACACATAGTGGCTCTGCCTCTATGTGCACGCCCTGTAGGTCCTAAAGAGAAATACAACACGTATGTTTTTACAGCTGATACAAAAAAGTTCAAATAGAAATGAAATCAGTGAAGCATGTGGAATCATTCTGATTCTGATTCTGATTACAGCTGGCCTGAAAAGACAGAAATTAGAAAATAAAATGAAGAGAATTAAAGAAAATTTTACTTACAAGCAGAAATAACTTCTTGTAGCCGACCTTGAGAAATCCCACGACCACACCACGTCCTCTGTATGTAGGGGAAAGGAGGGGCAGCGAGTTTGGTTGGGGTGGAGGGGGGTGTAGAGTGAAGTGCAATGAGTAAGACTCTCAACCTAGTTTCTCAGTTTGGTGATTTGAGGCGAGCTGCTGCCATGAACATTAAACACAGTGTCTTGTATGTCTCAACACTACAGTACATGCATTGTGACCACAGTATGACTCAGTGTGACTGCTGGTGAGCTGAGCAGGACCAGCTCAGTCAGACCAGAGAAAGCGAGGAAAATGGGTGTATAATGAGTGCGAGCTGAGGGAAGGATGTGAGATGTACCCGTTGCTCTCTGCGTCCTTCAGCAGGTAGAGCTGGTGCCTCTGGGACTGCAGCTTGGAAGCACTTGTTATAGGTGCTGTGAGCTGTTGGGCCTGTGGAGAGCGAGCATGAACACTGTTAAATGTTAACATTAAAGGTGCAGTAGGTAGGTTTTATAAAAATAAATTTTTGTCATATTTGCTGAAAGATGTTTTGGGTTGGAAGCTTGAAGATAGTTGATTGTTAGTCTCATTCCCAGAGTCCCAAAGCATCTGTATTCGACGCCCTGGGAATGAGAGTCAATAATCATTTATCCTTCTTGGCTCTGATTGGTTGGTGGATTCCTGCGAATGTCATTAGGAGCACTAGGATGAGCCAAAGGGAGCTGTTTTTTTCACAGATTATCTGTCTCATGTAGTACTGTTTTTTCCTCTTATGTCCTCCAGATGCTCCACCTCAGACCAACATTGGGTAATGCTGACGGAGGGTGGTGCCGGTTTCGTGCCAGAATTGGAGCCAGGTGAGCGGGCAATGTAACCAGGACATAACTAATTGCAGAGGCAAAGAGAAAGAAGATGCTGATGGAGAAAGCTAAGAAGAGAAACTGAGAGAGAAGCCACCAGACAAGAGTAAATGTGGGACTGGGTTTTAGTGGTTGGCTAAAGAAAGATTAGTGAAATAAAAGGCTGTAGACAGACGATGAGCTGGCCTTCTTGCTAGTCAGTAATATTAGCTTGCTATGTCATGTTGTTGTGTTGTGTTAAGCTTGATGTTTGGCTTGTCAGCAAAGTTGTCAACTCGCTAGTTTTTGATTATAAGCAATGTAATCATAACCAGGCATGAAAACGGGGGCATGCTCCCCTGGAAGAAAA